CTTCTAAATTTTTAACTTTGTTCTAATTAGTCATTTTCACTAGCTTTTCTTTGTTCAATAACTCCAATTCTATCATCCTAGCTTGCTCCCCGTCTTTGTTGTACGGCTATCTTTAATTATTTACTTTTGATATTTACTAGTACTACTCAATTGCTTAACAAATGATTAGATGTAATTATATTGTGTAAGTTTTATGTTCATTCACTTTAATGAATCGTACCATGAAGAATAGAAGATCGAGTAGAACAAGCGAACAACGCTTTATGTCTGATGTACTCCATATTGGATGAGCTGATTGAACTCATTCAACTATGAATTGAATTAATTAAAACGATTTATTCAGGGAAAAAATTGATGATTAGCTTTTTTACATATGTATGTATAATAATTGGTTAATTTTCCTTCTATTTGATTTCTTATTTGAAAAGTTGTGAGAAAATAATTTTGTTGTGTAAAATTAATACTCTGTCATACACTTCTAATTAATTCTTTGATGAGAAATATATTGTATACTCAATTACTCATGCTTAAGAATTAGTTGAAAAGTACAACAACATATCAAAAGGTTCTTTCCGTGTACGTGTGGGCAAAAGCTTTTTATTCCTTATAATGTGCTACCAAAAAAAAAAAAAAAAAAAAAAACTAGAACAAATTTAGATATACAGTTATCATAGGAGCCTAACTCTTAATAGATTTTTGTTCTTATCACAAATGTTTCCCTTGATAGAGAATTATTTGTCACAATGCAAATTGTAAATAAAAGCTTTAATTGTTTTGGATAAAACTAATATAGAACGGTCCATATTCATTCTTATTAAAATTTAATATTATCCGAGTTAAAATAAATAATTAGAAAACTAAAAGTACTTAGGTATGTGGAATATAAATGTCAAATAAGCCAAAACTTGACAATCTACTTTTTAAATACGGAGTAGTTTTAACCTTAATAAATATTTAGTTTAAAATTAACATATTTCTTATATATATATATACATTAAAGTATTTGAATTAGCTACTTCGTAATTACAACCTAGTACTTTTGTATACTACAAATGTATATAGTTGAGATCTCGTCAGAGGCAAAGATAGGGATGAAAAAATTATCGCGGTCGAGGTTGCCTTCTCCCTTAACTTGTTGGCAAGCTGAACACAACCTTTACCTTCTCTCTTAATGGGCGGAATTGAGCCACAAGGGGGCCGAAGCCCTTGTCAAAACCCCCTGACTTTGTCCATAGATCTTGTATATTTTTATTAGTTATCTCTCATACACTGTATTTATACAAATTAACATGTAAATAAAAATAGTCAAATCATATTAAACTAATCAATAACATAATACTAAAACAGACACCAGCAATGACACGTGTCAATTCTTAATGTAGTTTTTTTCCCTCCAAAAACACCACTTTCCTTTTTTGCTAAAATATTCTTTGAGAAGTTTAGTATAATATAACTATCATAATATTATTCCAAATCTTTTATACGCATCTTTTATAATAAATATTTTCCTTTATGTCAATTAGTTCGTATCCCATATCTTTTAATAATAGGACAATGTATCATAATAAATATTACTTTGTGTGTCATCTTTAATACATCATATTTTAAATAAGATAATTTTTATCAATATTTAAAATGATGACTCTATTAAATAATAAAATCATACTACACAAAATTATTATTGTTATTATTATTAGTATTATTATAGTAAAACAGACATTTTGATTATTTTTTTTAATACTATAATTGGTTTCTCGCCTAATTCTAATACGAATGAAAAGCAAAACGAAGGGAGTTTAACAACATAGCGTAACATTATAAACAATTTATCTATGCATGTAATCATGTAAGAAAATTTGACTAATTCAAATTTAATTCTTTCTTATTTGTATCTCCAATACTTTCATATATTAGGAAAAAAAATTAACCAAATATCATTAAATCGGAGTTATAATCCCTGCAAATTAGGTGTATGTAATACATATATAATTTTAAATATTTATTTGGTTAATAAAAAGAAAATTGATACTAATTTATCATTGAATTTTTAAAACACCTATATGGTCGTCTAACATGTAATTTAAATATACTCATTTGTCTAATCGATTCCTTTGTTATATTTCATTTCATTATATATGCAAAATAAGAAGAGAATAAATATGTTATAGTTGTATTTTATCTATTTTATTTTAAATATAATTATTTTCTTTTATTAATTAAATGTAGTATAATGATCGTATATGGCACGAGACCTATTCTAGTAATATAAAAAGTTAACTCTCCATATCTCACTAATCAAGTAATCATGACTTTGTTTTGAAATATACACATCCAATTCTACCCTCTTTCTCATCAAATTCATCATTGCCATCACCACAATTTCAACCTAAACAAAAAAGGTACGCTTCACTCTCATCACCCTAATATTGTTGTTAAAAGAGGACAATAATTGTAGATACTCGTAGAAATTTTCAAAAAGGTATGTTTTGGACGTATTCGGAGTTTGGTCATACTAAATTGGGCCCACTAATAGCCGACTATATGGTAGTAGCAGGGTAGTAGTGGTCCATATGCCAGGGTGTCCAACGGCCCAAATGCTTATCAACTTATCACTTTAAGTAAAAAATATTTAAAATAAAATAAAAATGTGGGACCCACAAAATACTTACTACGGAATACTATTTACGGCTTTCCACCACGCGTCATACTATGAGGCCACTTAAAAATAAGCCAGATTTTTGAAGATCTTTGTGACAGAGAAGCTATTATTTTGTGTCGTTTTGCTAGTATAGTTGCTTAAACGCAGCGTTTTAGGTTGGATTATTTTAAGGTGTGAACGTGTGATATCATAGTGAAATCATTTGAGACATGAAGGCATGGGAAAAAAATCTAGTCTTGCAGTAACATGATTTATGATTGTGGATTTGGTTACGTGTTTTACTATCTAACATAGAGAATTTAAGATCATGCCATGATCTATCATAGTCTACTAAAGCAAATGAGTGATTCATTCATTCTTATATGGAGATACACTACTCCTTCTAGAAAATCCAGCTAAGTTATCATGGTGCTAACACGTAAAGATTAGCAGCATCTCTACTATGCACTTGGATATATATATATATATATATATATATATATATATATATATATATATATATATATATATATATATATATATATATATATATATATATATATATATTTTTGATTAGAGGTACATTTATTGTACTTTTAAAATAGTTAACATGTTATTTTGGTGATTTTCAAATGTAATGTCAAATAAAAATTAATAATACACTTATCCTCTTAGGTACACTTTAAATATGTCGTAATGCATCTGCTAAAAAATTTATAAAAATTAGGAGAGTATTTTTTTTTTGTTTTTTTTTTTGTTTTTTTTGTTTTGGTGGTGTTCTACCCGATTCACCCTTTGAGTTAATCCGGATTTGAGGATCACAGTTCTGGGTGGTTAGGTTCTAGTCCCCTCCCAATTGTTGTTGCGGGGGATCGAACACGCGGTCCTCCCTACCAAATGTAGCCTCAATCACCACTATACCAACAACCAATTGGTAAAATTAGGGGAGTATTAATGTAGGGAGAAAAATGATAGGGATGCACATTGTTAATTAGCTTCACTAATATAATCCGTGTTTTATACACACGGGTGTACAGTGCTCATCATACACCCGGATAAATAAAAAAAAGGCGGAAAGAACATCTTGTGTTTCATAAAGAACATACATGTATTTGATAAAAAACATGTTTGTATTTGACAAAAACATGCATTACCAAAGAACATAAAGATATAATAAAAAGAACGAGATTAAAACTTAATTAAATTTTCTGAAAAATTACACATTATTAATGGAAAAAATTTAGAGGTGATAAAAAATCTAGTAGGGCCGGGCCATATCATAATTTATTGTGCCCAAACCCGTAGAAAAGTAGCGGGTTTTCGGGCTTTTTTCTAACCCGGTTTGAGTTTTAACTAAAAAAGCAATTTTAGGTTTGCCCAATCCCACCCTATTTCGGGCCGGATCGGGTCGGGATGCGAGTCATGCCAATGTTGATCACCTCTTAAAAAATCCTTACCAAAGATATCATTTCCCCAAAAATAGTTTTCTATCTCTCCAAAAAAAATTCAATTTTCCATAATAATTTATTTTTTTTACTCTAATATTATTTTCAATTAAAAATAATTTAAGATTTCAATATCAAATTTCAAAATACCATATGTTAAAAGAACATAATTTATATTGTAAAGTACATATAGTTAATACCTAAATAACACACTAATCAAACTTAAAGAATATACGATAATAAAAGTAATTTAAATATGACATATGATAATAAAAGTAGAATTTGGCATCACTACGACCTTAAAGAACATACACGCCAAATTCAAAGAACATACTTTGTATTATTAAACCCAAAAAAACATATATGTTTATCAACATATGTTAAATAACAAAAGTTATAATGTAAAGAACATATAATTTTACTCAAAGAACACACTGATCACACTCAAAGAACATATTAAAGGTATGTTCTTTGTCAAACATTGATATGTTCTTTATCAAACACTACATGTTCTTTCCGCCTTTTTTTGTTTACCCGGGTGCACTATGAGCATGGTGCACCCGGGTGTATTATCTAATTTTCACACTAATAAGGATGGATAGACCGGATTCCATATGTATAATTCTTCTTTATTGATGCCAATTAGCTTCTAATTATAATTTATAAACTTGATGAGTTCATGACATGAATCATGAGTATACATTGATACTTCGAACAAGAAATTAAAATTTTTACTTAGCTTCAAGTGGGAACATGAAAAACACGCCTTGAAACATTTAAAGTAAGAAAGCAAGAAATGCCTTTTTTTTGTTTCTTCCCCTTGTGTGTTACTTCTTCACATAATAATATGAAAATATATATATATACATATATATAGGGTCGGGATCCGGTGAGAACCACCCTTTATGTGAGAACACTCCTAATATATGAGAAATCTAAGCCTTAGGATCAAACGATATCAACGGTTCTAATAAATCCAAACTTTTGATATCAAACGATATACTGCTGCTACTCAGAAAAACAGAGCAAAGAACTACGAGCTTCAATTTCAATGAGATTCAAGAATTTCGAACACAATTCCGTCCGATTTTTGTCAGATTTCAGCAGCAACAAGAATCACTAGCTTCATAGAATATACAGGTAAATAATCAACAAAAGTTATGTTAGTTTTTTCCGAATGTAATTTTCTTAATTTTTGTCAATATTTTCGAATTTCATGGTTTGAATATTGGATTTTCGTTAAAATTTTAGCAATGAGTGATCTTAGCATCAAAATTTACAAAATATTTTTCAATTGCATGTTAATCTTAGTATTTGATTTCAGTTCGAATTATTTTCGTTAAAATTTTGGATAATTTTCGTTAAAATATTCGATTAAATTCGTTAAAATTCAATGAGAAATTTTCGATTTGAGTATTTCAATTGAAGGTATGTAAATTGAGCATATATAATTAAAATGAGCAAAAAGAATTAAAATGAGCAAATACAAAAAAAAAAAAAATGATCAACTATAAAATGAGCAAAATAAGCTGTGTTGTTGTGGTACAATCGTTCTTGTGTTGTTATTTTAAATTTGAGTGTCATTGTTGCGTTCTTGTTGTTACTTTAGGGGTTTATGTTTCCAGAAATTTCTTACCACTCGAAACTGTATTAGTAACCCTAATTTAGTTTTGCTGGCATTCATGTTGTTTTATGTAAATTACTTGAAATTGTTTTACAAGTTTGATGGTTTCCTCACTTTTCTGTTTGCTGTATGTGGTGGTGTTTTTGGTTTTTCTACGTGTTGCTGTATGTGGTGGTGTTTAAGCTTCTTGGTTGTTCAAGTGTTCAGGAAGTAATTGTCTGTGAAGCCCTGGCTCATTTTCTACTGCCATTCATGTTGCCTATTTAGCCAATTTTAGGTCTCCCAATTTCTTTCTTGATTTGTATGACTATATCCTAATTGAATTATTATATTTCTTCATTATAATACTTTAGCCTTCTATATTAATATGAATTTTCTGTTTCCTATTTTTCTGTGTACGTGTGGTATGATCTTTTGTTAATTCCTTACAATTTGGACTTGGTCGTTATTTATGAGTATCAGCTTATAAACATGTTATGTAGGCTAACTTTCTAAATAATTGTATTGCATAATCTAGCAATGAGAGATGGTGAAGTGTGGAATTGTTGGAGGAAGCTATTATGTGGAATTCCAAGAAGTGCCATTTTCTTGCCATTTCTAACTCGTAGATGGTGTTATCCAGTTTTTTTTTTTTTTTTTTTTTTTTTTTTTTTTTTTTTTTTTTTTTTTTTTTTTTTTTTTTTTTTTTTTTTGCATTAGGATGTATTGAAGAATTAAATGTTTTTGGCATCTGAAATTTTGGATCTAATCTCATATGTTTAGTATACTACTGGTTTTGTCTGGTGTTAAAAGAAGTTGCTTGCTCATATATGTTGTTTTATGTAATTAGATGCTTGGTTTTCATGTAATGGATGCAGCTCGCTTCTACCTAATTACTTTGTGTCTTGATCTTTCACATGCAGGAGAATCAAGTTATTCAGGGAAAGAGTGGGTTTAATAGCTTCATGGGTATGAAATTTCTGAACTCTAGATTCTAGGGGTTTTGTGTGTGTGTGTGTGTGGGGGGGGGGGGGGGGGCTCAGTTTTTTACAGGAAACAAAGTTATGAATTGACAAGATGTACTTATTTGTTTGATTTCATTTTTCCCTTTGATGTTTCAGTAGCTCCAAAGTATCTGTTGCAAATTAAAGGCCTCTGGCTGTGTTTTACGACCGTGTGAAACTGGTGAGAAAGGCATTCAAAACAAGTTTCATAGTATAATTCTATTGTTCTTTAGTTAATCTGTTTTTCTTTTCTTTTTTTGAGTTCCTGTCTCTAAAGTGGGAAACCACAAAACCAAACAAACTCAATCATAGAGGTCAAAGGCAGCTTACTATCAATTACTTTCTAAAAATATTAGACATGTCTTTGTTATACATATATTGATTGACCTGATATATTTGTCTAGAACTGGATAATTCCTTCTCGATCTTTATAACCCCAACCTCAGTTCCTTTACACACATAAGCATCTGTATTAATCTTCATCACGCTAGCCCAACAGTAGCTTGTGTTATACTTGTTAACTATTAGCTAAGCTATGCTTTAGTTGCAATGATGCAGTGATAGACGAGCAATTGTTCTTCTTTAGGTATGATTTTGGTTTTTTAATGTATCTTTGATTTCATTATTTTCTAGATCTTGTTTTTTATTTTCGCTTGATTTGGGTGTGAATAGATTTGCATTGATTGGAATTGGAATCACAAAAAAATCAAATAGAACTGCTGTCATCATGCATATTAAGTTCATAACTGTTGATGTTTCAGGTACTTGTATGGGAATCTATATGCAAGTAATAATATATGGGCAACTACTGAGAATCCAACAAACTGTGAAAACCTTAGCACAGCAACAATTAATGTCGTTTAGTTGTGTAAAAGACTCACCACTTTAGTGCAATGCTGTAGGAACTACACTTCCAGCTATGGGATACATATATTCATTTGCGCAGGACAACTAGAAAGATGTTCTCAATCTAACCAGCACCGGAGTTTACAGAGTTGTTTGCCCAAGCGGTTGCAACTATGCTTACTCAAAGGAGATGGCAAGGCCTGCCACTAGTCCAACTCCAAGTCCATCATCCCCTTCAAGAGAAGCTCATTCTCTTGCACCTCTTAGAGATTGCCTCTCCTTTCTTCTCTGCTTCCTGATTCAGCATTTATTATTTTGAGCAGTGTTTCATTTGCATTCAGCTAGGATAGTCATATACTCGTATAGATATATATAGTTCTTTGTATCTCCGTAGGTTTGAGAAGAATGTTGAAATTTTTCGAGATACACATTATTGTAATTGGGAGTATATATATATATATATATATATATATATATATATATATATATATATATATATATATATTAATCTTGTTACATTTCAAACTTTAGTATATTATAATTAAAATAAAGCTGCAAAAAAATTAAAAAAAAAAAAAAAAAACCCCGGAGAAAAGGTAAGGGTTCATGGAGAAACCGCTACCTCTAAGTTGTAAAAAATCAAATTCGTACTAAATTATATGAGATAAAAAATGGTTTGAAATGATTTATAACTATATAAACTTTGTTATAATTAAACTCTCATACAAACTTGTGTCTCCACATTACATAAATGAACCTACGTGAGATTCGAACCCACATCTTTTGTGCATTTGCACAATGCTCTACCCTTGAGCTAGTAGGCTAACGTATTTAAAACATACAAACACACTCACAAATGAGCATTAATTTGACAAAATGAGCAATAATCATTTGCTCATTTAATAAATGAGCAAAAATTAATCGCTCATTTGACAAATGAGCAAAAAATAATTGTTCATTTAACAAATTATTCGCTCATTTTGACATTATTTGCTCATTTTTGAAAAATTAGTAAAGAATGAATATTAATTTTTGACAAAATGAGCCAAAACTATCTGCTCATTTAGCAAATGAGCAAATAGTTAGTTGCTCATTTGTCTAATGAGCAAATACTTATTTGTTAATTTAAAAAATGAGCAAAACTTAGTTGCTCATTTGTCAAATGAGAAAACATTTATTTAATCATTCATTAAATCAACAAGCATTTATTTGCTCATTGCTCATTTGTGAAATGAGCAAACTAATAAGTTTGCTCATTTGTCAAATGAGCAAATAATTAGTTACTCATTTGTAAATAATCAAATATTTCTTTGATCATTTGGCAAATGAGCAATAAATTTTTTGCTCATTTAGCAAATGAGCAATAGCTAGTTGCTCATTTGGAACAGATTTATGTCCTTTCCAATGGTAACATTTGTAATCTACAGACATCACAAGGAGACAAATTATCCAACAAGGCATACATAAGGGACACTGGGATAGGAGCATCAACAGATTAATTAATAGCAGCAACATATAACATGTCTTGATGTATGGATAAGATTAAGGGAAAGGATGCAGCAAGGATAACCTGTTTATTGATACAAACTGAGCCAATTCCTGCGATATGTCAAATATCTCTCCAGAAGCATGTCGAAAGTACCTGTAATACATAAATAGTTACTTTAGGAAAATTAAACTGAGGTCAGCCAAAACTTGTATAATTTGTTGATGGCTTGTGAATTGCTAGATATATGTGAAGTATATGGTGGCAAAATCAGTAACGAAGGTTAGTTACCCCTCTGAAGGAAGACAGTGGGGTAGGGTGGGGGCACTAATTTTTTGATTGATGCTACTTGGAAGCAACCAAGTTGTTCAATTATAACTAATACTTTTTTTTGAAAGAATTATAACTAATACTTGTATAAGTAGCATAATAGAAGCCCACATCTAATAACCATGATACTAGAATTTTTAATTCAATAGTTCCAGGTATGAGTGAATAAGCTAAGGCTCAACTCTAATATATCCTTCGCGGAGAAATTTTACCTATCGTTAATAGCACCGGTTAAAGCACCTGATTTTTTTTTTATAAAGACTAATATAAAACCCATAACAATACATGCCAATGATAGCTTTTAATATTTCAATTTCAAATCATGCTCATGCAAGAAGACTTCTAACTGTTATTACAAAAGGCCAAGGTAACCACCAAAATGTTTGAAATAAAATCAGACTGTCTTCAGTTGCATTTGTACAGAAATTACACCTCAAATTCATAAGTTTACAGAATATCACATAGATGGTCCTCCGAATACTATAACTCACAAGAAAAGGAAATTTATAATTGATATCATAATACAGTAATAAAGGACATGTTAAATGTTATGCTTGAATTTAATGGAAAAATTTGCAAGTCTTATTCCAATAAGCAAGTTTACCCCTGTCGTAATTTTCTTCCATTAAGAATCATTCAAAATTAGAATGTTATGTTCAGGCATTTAACTAGACAATGTTGGACAGCGAAAAACAGAAAGAAATTTGGGGTGTGAATGTTCAACAAGCACATTACAGATTCAGATTCACAAATAACAAAACTAAAAGGGGTACCTTTTCCTGGAGATCAAGGTCCTCTGACGATGTTAAATTAACTATTGCCTTCGGAAAAACATGATCTCTGAAAAAGGGAAGCTCTGCCTGATCAGCATTCTCTAATTGGAACTCTGCCAAATCACCGATCAGAAAGACACATTTTCAGAACAAGGGTACTTGCCGCTGTTATCCATGAATGAATTTGGTACTCCGAATCTCACTTCTTGATCACTATTTTTTGAGTTATTTCTCTCTTTAACTTCATTCACCTTTCCTTTGAAATTGGGTTGGTAAGGCTGAACATCTTAATATAATCTTTTATCAATCATCAATGCAATGAAACCATGCAAAACATAAAGCAAATTAATCTCAGCGTTGGTAAGGCTGAACATCTTAATTCTACATTAAAACGGATATTATATATAGGACATATAAATGAAATTACCACTAATCCATAATTCCTTACAACTTCTAATATTAAAAACAAAGTAAGACTAGTAGTAAATTGGCAATACTCCATTTGGAACTCCAAAAACTGAGTAAATACTACCATTAGAGCAACTCATCGGTACACCTAGCCATAAAATGTTGCCTGAACCAACTACGATTATTTCCGGGCAAGAGTACACACTAAAGACTAGACTCGTCTAGTCATACTTATTCAAGAACAATTGAAACCAAACTCATTTTGCAATCCCAAGCTCTAACAACATGACCATCAAAACGAGTACCTCCTTGATATTGTCTATAAAAACCTTTACTCGGATCAAGTAATGCAAGCAGTTTACCATTTAATACCAACCATTTACCAGTCTCAGAAATACACAATAAACACATATCATTGCAATTGAGATCATAAATATTCGCCAAGTCAAGTCATCTTTGTTCAAACTCTAAACTTTACGATGACAAAATGTATACTGTAAACCATTGGTAAACACTTTCCGACCATAATTATCAGTCAAAACATACTTTAGTAAATTCTATCTTCAATATTTCCGCAACCATAGATTTCACTATCAAAATTGTTACTAAACTAAAATCGGCACGCTCATTAAATCGATTACAAGGATCAATTTACATTCAAACTAATTGAACGAGTATAAAACATTAAGAAACCAGAAAATGAACAAAATTAAATCAGAATCTCATAAATTGCTTCGTACTATCATCACATGATACAAACTACTAAAAATCACATAAAAACAAAGTAAAATGCCCAAAATCAATAAATTGATACTTACATCATTAGTTCATATGTAACAATAGCTTCGGTTGAATCCATTTAATGAAGAATTCGCGATTTCTAGGGTTTCAACAAAATCACAAAAACCTTATTCAATACCAAAATTTGAACAATTGAAGCCAAATATCAGAGGAAGCTTTATACTGTCTTTAACAGTACTCACAACCAAACCAAAACCGCAACATAATCGTAAAATCGAGCGAAAATTGCAACAAAACCACAACATAATTTCGCAAATACACAACCAAAACAAGAATACATGTTAAAACCTAAATTCAAACAAAATAAAACTAAAATCAACTTGATAATTACTCAAAAAAACGAAAATAAAACTAAAATCAACAAGAAAACAAACTAAAACATAATCGACACAAAGTAACCTAAAATTAGTGAGATGAAATCAGCACAAATAAAACGGAAATCAAAACGAAGATAAACAATGAATGTAACCTAAAACTAATTGAAAAACAGCAAAAAAATAAACAATATTGACGAACAATTGATGAAGATTGAAGAAGTTGTGATGAAAATTCAGAGAGATAGAGAGTAGAAACCGGATGAAATTGAACTAGGAGAGGGAAATTGCGCGTGAAAGAGTAAGGAGGAGAGAGAAATAACGCAGAAATTGTTTTGAAATAAAATGGTTTTCTTTAAACCGGGATTGTATTGTGACTGTTGGATGTAATTGATCCAATGGTTATAATGAGTCCTCACATATAATAGTTAAGGGGTGTGGTCTCATATAATCCTATATATATTATATATATGTATATATATATATATGTATATATATGTATATATATCGGGTTGTTTCATTTAATTTGTGGATCTAGTTCAAATAAATAATTTTATATTTTATTCTATCAATTCGGTTTATGAGTGTGGTTACAATTGAAAATGAACAATTTAAATTATTTTTGGCACCAGACATTTTAAGTTCAATTAAAAGGTAATTTTAGTTCAGAATATTTCGAGTATTGGGTCTGTTTGGGTCAATTTTGAGTATCGGGTTTGTTCGGGTCAAACAATTCGGGTCAACTTCGGGTCGGGTCAACTTCGGGTCGGGTCAGGATCGGGTCAATTCTATTTTCGGGTCGGATATGGGTCGGGTCGGTTCAATTTTGGATTTCGGGTTATTTTTGGGTCGTTATATTTGGGTCATTTTCAGGTCATGGGTCGAGTCTGGGTCAGAATTGTTAGGTCTAATGGTAATGGACTAGTAGATCTTGCAATATATGGTCCATTCATTCTTATTTAATTTCTTTAGATATGATCTCGATGGTTACTTTCAAGTTCAATTTCTATAACTAAAACGTGTGTGAGCTGCGTGTATTAGAGAAGAACGAGAGTTTAAGTCTTTGACTTCTCACAATTACATTCAAGTAAGGTTTCACCTTAAAATTGATTGATACTCGTAGACTATACAATATATTTAGTTATAAATTTAACTAATCGTGTAGGTCATAAACCATGCAATAATCTTATGGAAACTGTAATTTTAATTATATGTATCTTGTACTCGTAATATTTCAAAATTCCAAAGTATTTCAAATTTAATCATATTATGTAATATTACAAAACCAATCATATAAATTGTAGAATGATAACAATCATAAAAACGGT